GTCGCCCCCCCCCCCCCCCCTCCTCCCTCTCATGTGTGGGGTATACACAGAGAAGAACAATTGACCCACAGTTTCTCATTGCACGCAATGCTCTCATGGCACAGCACACAATATATAGAAAACGGCCACATGGACCCCTTGCACCCTCTCTCTCTCCCTGTGTGGCTGCTGGCTGCTGGCGATGATTAAAGTGTAATAATGCACCGCTCCCGCTCTCACCCACACCCAGACAGACAGAGAGACAAACACAGACACGCCAACGTGCAGCCAAGACAATAGGTGGGTGGGTGAGTGGCTAAGTGGACGTCATGCCAGAGATCAATCGCCACACCCCCCCCCTCAGCCAGACCTCCGTCTCGCTGACACGTTCACTCCTGTCCCACGGGAGACAACACGAGACATATCGCTCTCTCTTCTCGCTCTCTCTTCTGGCACTGTGTGTGTGTGTGTGTGTATGCGGTGTGTATGCGGTGTGTATGTATTCGCCAGACGACAGACACATCTCCCTCTCTCTCCCTCCCGGCATTTCTTTGACCCTCACTCAGGCACATGTGCTGCCGACGCAATTCAGGCTGCAGCGTTCCTTGGCGGCCGTGCAGGACTGTGACGGTCCACTTGGTTTACAGCCTGCATGCAGCACGGGACACAATTAGTGTGTGCACATGAAAACAGCGTTCGTGCGGGCGTTCGTGCGAGCTGCTTCTCTTCGCTTTATTTGGCTCACTTACATCTTCCTTCGAAGCAGTCGTCGCCACCATCAAAATCGCAGTCAACGGTCACAGCCTCGCATGCACGGCACGTGCCGTCAGAGTCATTGCAGAAACGGCTGCAGCATTCGTCGTCATTACTGCAGGAGGAGCCATTCTCAATACAGCCTGCATGAATGAGAATGAAAACAATGAGACGGCTGTCAACAGGTATGCAGATGGCCTTTTGTTCGCTTACATTCTCCAGAGCCGTCGGGAAACTCTATCTCGCCCGTCGGGCATTGGCCCGCACTCGGTCCGCACGAGCCGGCCCTACACACTGGAGTGGCGGGGCGGTCGGTGCAGTCGGTGTCGAACAAGCATGGCCCGCACGTGCCGGCTTCGGTGTTACACACTGGAGAGCTCGGTGGGCAGTTGGTGTTGGACGTGCATTGGGCCTCAGCCGACCCGCATACGAAAGTGAGTCTGTTACACACTGAGCTGCCGGGGCAGTCGCCCTCGTTGAAGCAATAGCCGCATTGGCGCCTGCCGTCGATTTCGGCGAGACAGGTTTGTCCTTCGACGAGGCAGTCGGCATCTGCTTCACACGTCTCGTCGCAGGGGGCGCACAAGCCGCCTTTGCAAGTCCTGGAGCAGCAGTTCTCCCCTCCGTCGGTGCAGACGTCGCCCGTCTGCGCACAGGGGACACCTGAGAGCACACACAAACACAGACACCCAGACACACGATGGAGGGAGAGCTGTGTGTGCCCACGGAGGGTGGTGTGTGAGTGGACTGTGTGGGGCGTACACAGGCCGTTGCCTCCGCCGCTGCATCTGTGTGTGGCCGGTGGGCAGGGGTCTTTGTCGTCTTCTGCCTCGCTGCAGCTGCGCACACACTCGCCCGACACTCCGTCCGAATTCGGCTTGCAGTGAAAGCCGAAGAGACCTTCCGTAGAGCAGTCGGTATCAAACATGCAGGGGAGGTTCACCGCTGACACACACAGCGATCAGGACACACACACAGGTCAAAGAGGCCACCGACAGACAGAGTGCCTTAGTAGCGGTGTGCGCACTTACGCTGCTCATCTTGAAGCGGTCCGTTGACTTGGTTGGTGGCATTGAGTCCGGCCTCTTTGGGCGACGGCTCTAGGGGCATAATGAGGACCTCAGTGTGGTTGGCTGTGTCGCCAGTGGTATTCTGTGGAAGCTGCCCGGCCGTCTGCTGCTCAGCTGGCCCGTTGGTCACCTCATTGGCGTCGTCGTGCAGCGAGCGGGTGAGAGGCGCGGCCGGCGGCTGCGGTGCGCCCACACACACCAACGCTGCTGAGGGAGGAGGGACACACAGACAGACAGACAGATGTGTGAGAGGCCTTTCCTTTCTCTCCCTTCAGGTCGTGTGGTGTGGTGTGTGGGGGCGGTGCTCACCGGCCAGTGAGATGGCGAGTCACAGGAGGGCGGGGCACAGCACAGGCGAAAGCATCGAGGCCTCCTTGGTCAGCTCAGGGGAGGGAGGGAGGGAGGGAGGGAGGGAGGGAAGGGCGACTGAACCGAAGAGAACAAAAACTGCTTCGCTGAGGTACACACAGAGGCGGGAAGGAACGAAAACCCAAAAGAGCTTTGGCTCACGTGGACCGTTGAATGGTGTTATGCTATTATTTCAAGGCCTTTCCTTCGACCAGCCGCCTGGCGTTGACTTCGTCTCTGCAATTTGTTTGGGTTTCTTTCCTTTCGTCTGTCGACGCGCCTGCTTTGTTCCTTTGGGTTTTTCTGCCTGTCCGTTCCTCCCTCCTCCCCGTTCTGTCCCCCGGGAAGCCAATTGCAGGAAGCCAGCAGCAGATGCACTCGCCTGTTGGCTCCCGTTGTTCATGGCCCTGCTGCTCGTCATCAGACCAGCCGGTGAGCTCTCACGTCGTCACGACGCGCCACCCCGAAAAGGGCAGCACATCGATGACACACCTGTGTGTGTCCCTTGGCAGCGGTGCTCCCTCACGCGGCCATCGATGTCCCTTTCCCCTTCGCCGAGAGACAGAAAGGGCAGAGAACGCATTAAGGCGAGGGCAACAAGCAGCTGCCACCAAGCAGAGTGACCGCAACGCCACTCGCCCAGCTGACGATGCCGACTCTCCGCCACCAGCCACAGCCAGTCACCATCGCCCTCTCTGTCATCGTCTCGCCCCCATGTGCCGTTCGGCCAGCCGCCCCCTCCCCCCGACCCAACCACCACCACCAGCCCCACTCAGCAGCACCATCAACAGCAGCAGCAGGACAGCATTGTCATCATGCGGTGCCCTGAGCAGCCTTCGCCACGGGCATGGAAGACCACACCAGGGCGGGGGCGTCCAGCCACACGCGGCTGCTGCCAGTGGGCGTCGCCTCATAGCTGTCGGCCTCTGTGGGCGCAGATACGGATCCTGACGGAGGCAACTGCTGAGGGAGGGCAACAAGAGAGTGACTTCAAGTGTTGCCATCATGACTTCGAGTGCATCGCCAAGCGGCTCAATGTGACCTAAGCCCATCGACCCATCGATGGATCGATGGAGGGCAGCGCAGCGCACACACAAGGGGCAGACACAGACAGACTGACAGACATCATTTGTACAGCTGACGGACTGATGAGTGAGTGACTGGATGGCTGTCTCTTTTTTGCCCCTCTTTCTCCCTCATTCTCTGTGTGTGTGGGTGTGGAGGGGGGGATTGTGCATTTGTCCAGCCATCTACGCCTCTCTGTGTGTGTGGTGTACACTATGCGTGTTAGCATCCGACCAGTGATGAGACCAATTCATTCACGTGAATGGCCGTTCGTCTGTGTCTCAGTGTGTGAGACCCCCCACCACAGTAGATCAGAGCAACATCAGTGCAGCCAGGTGCCAAACATCGATCAGTGTGACAACCACTCCACTGAATGAGTCCGTCACACAGCACACAGAAGAGATGTCACCCATCCACCGTCCACCGAACCTGAGCCCACTCGCATCTCAGTCATATTATCTGGTTTATGGGAGTGGGCCTCACCTGCCTCTCTGAACCGCGCACACGCCACGCTCATATCGTCCCCCTCACTCTGTGTTTATCTGTGGCTGCCTGATGAGTTAATCAATGCCCCCCCCCCCCCTCTG